TGGGCCCACATGAGAGTCTTGCATGTGCAATCTGATTGTGGAAAAGTACATGAGGCCCTGGAAACTTTTACATCATTGGAAGGTGACATCTCTCTCTTTCCACCCACCTCACTGTTTATTGTTTTGGGTGGGATGGGTCAATATGGAAGAAGCTCATATCTTTCGCGTTGTGTTGCTATCGATATTCTTTTGTTCTTGGCTCAATTTAGTTATCTTCTCACGCAAATTTCGGACACCATTGCCTTCGGCAAATTTCCTCGTGGCATAAAACATGGAAAGTTTTAAAGGAAGATGCTATGTCAATTTCGTTATGCTTAGCATGAATTTGACGTTAAGCTCAGAACCCACCCCCCACCGCGGGTGATATTGTGCTCGATATGTGGACCAACAATGTGCTCTCCTGTTTTGTGCCGTGTGTTGTTCCGAGGCTCCCTCATATAGTGCCTACAATATTGGTGAAACAGGAGGGGTTTCGCCTCATTAATTTGTAATGCCATCTTACCACCCCCCACCCCCTCACACCACCTCACACCCCTTGTGTTGTGTGCTCATCTTTGCTTCGGAGGCTTTATATCATCTTTTGATAGCATGGAAAAGGGCCTTGCATACACTTGCCTAGGCGGGGCTGCCCTTTGTATGGCCTATTTGTCTTTCTCTCTCATAAAAAATGTTAGCCACCCACCCACCCCAGCCACCCCACTCCCGTAGCGTCAATCCTTATGTCAAAGCCAGGATGATTCAGCATTATTACATAATGGTGTAGTGCCATTTTTTTTTGAATAAAGAAAAACAACCAAAACTACAGCAATTTTAGTGGGCTAAAAATTGAGATGCAAAATGCCATAGCAAATGATAGGGGGCAGTTTTGAAATCTGCCAATCGAGATTTTACAGGGGTTTTTGTGAAGACTGAAAGCTAAAGGGAAGTTTTGACACAAGTCATACGTTTATTACCGCTTTTCAGCAATATTATGTATCTTCCAACCTTATGTCAATTTTGTTATAATTGGATAATCTCTTAGTGTCCCAGGTTTGCCCCCCACCCCACTCACCCACCCACCATCAAAATGATGTTAAGCGTAACAATTTCAGTATAGTGTGTTCCCTAACGTTGTTGTACAACTTCCATTCACAGCCGCCAGCTATACGAGATTATGTGTCAGTTCTCATGTTCATTGAATTGGAATAAAAACCTCTCATGCAGAGACATGTCTGTACTGGCCCAATTTCTAATGGGCTGCTATCCAACAAACCAATATCTACACCGTTTCCACCTCTTCGATGACTCACAATGCACATGGTGTCATTATCCTAAAGATAACAGGAACCATGCACTTTTTACTATACCCGTTTCGCTCTTCTACTGCAACAACCAATGGTGGGATTTGTTACTTGACAGACATGATGATTTAGTTTTATCTTCCAGACCGGGACGACCTTTCTTGGCCCAGTTTCAGCAGGCTGTTCGACGGGCATGTACTCAACATTCAGATTTTTGTTCGCATTGACGGGGTCATGATCAATGCTGGAAGTCAGACAAGGCAGCAAACACGGGATATGTCAGGACATTTCCATACATTCTGGGACATTTGGGACATGACCTGGCGAACTCTTTCTCTCGTTCCTGACATTTCTCCTTTGATGGTTTAAGACTCCCCAGAATGGATATTGAAAGCTGACCGAACATTGATGCTTTCTTTCCATCTTATTGTCTGGGACCCTACATCGGCTCCTGCTAGACAAGGATCCCATTGTGCTTTACGATTTGCGGGGAAGCTCCTTGCTTAGATCAGCATGTAATACATTGGAATTCAAATAAAAAGGTTGTTGTAGAACAGCTTTCCTGGCAGCATACTCGGGCCATTCCACGCTGCAGATCATCGGAAATGGTGCGCATCTAAATGCTCGGGCATCACTGGTCCCCTGCCTGAGTTCCAAGTTACAATGTGTAATGTTACTTCCTCCCCCCTCCCTGGCTCCCCCCAAAAAAACAAAGAGAAAAGACTTCTCCATGTTGCCATACAGCCCACAATGTTGCACTGTAATCACCCAGTGCACAGGGAAGGATGAGCTCATGCCCTGTGCATTCTCCTCTGAAACTGACGTCTTGTGCTCGGCCGCCACCCCAAAACGTCGCATTCCCACACATGAGCCACAATCCGCCAACAGAACTCAGATGAACAAAGGTGAATTCGAACGAACTCAGATATCAGCCCAGAATGAGACGAGTTATAAGCGCACTGCACAGGATGAAGGCAAGCTGGTGACCTCGTCAACCCGAGCCAAGACACACAAATGCGAGAGCTCCCATGCACACTAAAGGCATCCTCCGAGAGGGGCAACTGCATTGCGGGAGGGCACTGCTTGCAATGTCTATGCGGCGGCATGGCCTTCGACGCTGACAGCTCGCACCATTGCAGCTCTGGTTCATCCGTCTTCACTGGCTGAGAAACAGTGGGACAAACACTCTGGGCACACCACGGATGGGGCGTGACCCGTAAAGTCGAAGCCTTTGTGCAAATGGATCCAAATTAATGGAAAACTCTCTGGTTCATCCATCGACTATCAGATGGTTTTACTATCCGCCGCTTCTTGGGAACATCTGACGGTCGTACAAGCTCCGCATGCGCCAGTAGTGCTGTCGGACGGCGCTCTCGTTGAACGGCCGTCCGATGTGTCGAAAGTAGTTGGCACAGTAATCCACGTACCTGGGCGCACAGTCAACAAACGAGTCACGCATGAGAGGGAGCGCCAGGGAATGGAGGTGCTGGTGGGTTTCTGGCAACAGTGCTCTCCGCCAGCAAAGAGCCGCTGACGTTGCATCCATCGAAGCCAGGTCGGGGGCCCTTGGGTCATGCGTGACCGCCTGTCAGGATGTCGAGAATCCTGACACTCGCACACATCACAAGCGGGAAACACAGCGCTTCGTTTTCTGTTGATGAATAGCCGCCCACTCCAATACTCTGTGTATTGATATGGCGATCCATGTGTACCGCAAGATAAGCAAAATATGTGCTTTCATCCAGAACAATTTTCACCCACGCCTTAGGTTATGCACTGCATTGAGCTTCACCGTCTGCCGCTGTCGACTGAGAGGGCGCCAGGTGAACACAAGGGTGGGGGGGAGGGGACAGCTGCCAAGGTGCATATCCGCCGTGCATGCTGCTAACCAACTGAGGGGCTAAGTGCAATCTGCACGAGCGGACTTTTGCACGTAGCTATGCACCCGCTACAGGGAGATTATCAACCTTTATGAGCCACACCCAGACATCTGTTTTCTTCTGAAAGCCTTGGGATAGAAGCGGACTTCCATTGGGTCACGTGCCACCCATTCTGGGCATTCAGCCCTGCAGCAAGCGACCTGGCGGTGGAATGTTTGCATCCCTACGTTGTGTCGCAACCACATCAACGCTGGGAAAGGGAACCAGGAGAGTCCCGAGTGCCTGCTACTCGACGGCGACGAGGGAGAATGTCGCCCTTATAGCCAGTCAAATAGTCAACGCTGGTGTTCATAAGTCCCCGCATACCCTCCAACCAGGATTGGATTCCCGCAACAGCCACCTTCCTGTGCAATGAACGATGCAATTGATGCGGCTGAACATGTCAAACCCGGCTCACAGCCATCTAAGCTATTGCTACCATGACAAATCACGTCCTAGCCGTCGGTTGCATCTACATCATCAAATTGTAACTGCGCAGAGGCTGCACAATTTCCACAGACCACGCCATTGCCCGTCCAACGGAAGACAGTGGCTGCAGCTTGTGCTCCTCCCTTGGCTGTTTCGCAGCCCATTACCATGACTGTCACATACGCAGGTATCTCTCGGAGAGAGAGAGACATGCCACTTGCGAGCTGTCGCTCTGGAATTCAAAAAGAATCAGCTTAAAGCAACCACAATCAACAGGCTAAAGCTCAGTTTGGTGCGGGTATTTGCCATGACACAACTTGGCAAGAGTTAACATCATTCTGCAGTCCACTGTGCAATTCCAGTCACCGTCACATCCTCGTACAGGATCCTCACCGTCGCATCCTCGTACATCCTTGTACAGTTCTTCTACTGTCCAACAATGCTACAAGTATGCTTTCTGTTTGCATACCTCGCGATGGAGAAACAACATTCTGTGAAAAAAGATACTATGATTCCAACTAATTCATCCTGGAGAAATAATGATACGTGCCTCCATCTTGCCAACACAATAGGCATTGTAACAGAGGGGTTCACAGACAGCTAGCATATTTCGGTACAAGTGGATGTCGAACATTAGCTTCCACTGGGCCCACATTTGCGCGGGTCCAAACAGGGAAACTAGTGAATCGCCATGTTAGAGCTTGGCTATTTGGCGCATGCCCAGATGAGCACTGCTGGACATGCTGCCGAATTTGGACCACGGCGCAGTCAAAATCAACTAAGCACAGTCTGTGGTCACGAGAAGGTACAATATGTGTCCATGAGCATTTGGCACGCAGCCCACTTACTAGTAAATGACTATTTGGTGTCCAGTGCCAGACTGCATGCACTGTGGACAGTGTGTCTCTATTCAAAGTGCAAAGCAGCTATCGTTTAACAATTATTCTAAAAACATAGTAAACACCATCCCAATACCCTACAATTCATTCCATGACTTTTTGGCGTCATCTATGTCATCTATGTGAATGGCCTCATGCGCCTTGAGACACATTCCTAACCAAAATACACATTGCACAGGATGCGCCTTGAGACACATTCCTAACCAAAATACACATTGCACAGGATGGTGGAAACCAAACATGCAAGGCGCGCAAGTTCAAAGCACAGACCAGCATTGCTGTCCCCTACCTGATGCAGGGCAAACAAGGTTTGCCACTGCAATGCACCAATTACGGTGACAAAACTTTGACAATCCAGCCACACCACTCAGTGGTGAGTCTCTCCGAATGATTACGTTTCCCACCCCTTACACTACACTAGCATGCTGCACTCAAACGAAAAACCATCAACCCCAACCCTTCGTCACGCTTACTGTTCCTCAGACATGGCGCTGGGGCCAGGCCTTCCATTGCCAAAGCTCGGACTGACATGCGTGGCCGAGGACCTGGAGAAATGCCCATTGCCTTCCACCTCATGCCTGGAACCCCTTCTGCTGCCCTCAAACAGCTGCCCGCTGCTGTACAGTTCCGAAATCCTGCTCTGCACCCTGCAGTAGTAGTCCAAATACTGATCGTATGTCAGGTCGAACACATGAGGAGCGCTCCCCTCAGGCTGCAAGGACCCCCTGCCAGGGGAAGGGTCGCCATGGCCCGCAGGTTCCCTCACCGAACCGTGGCTCCCCATGCCACCGGGTGAGCCCTGTGTAGACCTGCGAGGCCGCTTGGGGCTCCCCGGCCCATGGGAGCTCTCACATGACCTGCTCCTCACCCTTGCACGCGATGCAACAGCCAGGCTGTCGGCCTCATGTCCATTCGCAGGCGCTTGCATCGATGCGTCAACTCCCGGCTGCACTTGGTTATGTCTCCATTCCCTTGGCTGATCACTTCCCGGACCCATTTGCCCCATCCTAGGCCCTGGCCTTTGTTTGTAACCGCCCTGTCCTGGCCACCAGTGAATCGGCCTGTGGCCCTCCGATCGCAGCGGGTTCCCTCCGGACTGCCTGGCCCCGTCTTCCATCATCTTCACTAGCTTGTCGCCGACATCGCGTGACACCTCCTGACCATCTTTGGCTATTTTCACGGGCTTGCCCTCATTCAGCGGATTCACCAAGTGCTCCACCTTGTAGAAGGACAGGTCGTAGCGGCACTGCCAGTCCACCTGGAACAGGCAGCCCCAAGAAGACCCCACCCACAGGTTGGACTTGGGCCCTCGGCCTATCGGGGACGCCATCCGGGCGTAGCCCTGGAAGTGGCCGCTCTGGTTGACAGAGAAAATGAGACGGACTTCGTCTGACTCCTGAAAGGCATGGTTGAGTTTGTTTTCGTTGTGCGCCTGTGTGGACCACACCCCGTGCTCCATGGATTTTTCAATGTTCGCGCTGGTGATGCTCTTCATTATGAAGTACCGGATGATGCCTGTCCTGCTGTGGACCTCTTCCTGGAGATCCACACTGGTTGTCGGGTGCCGTTTTGTGAAATCTGACTACTCCAGCTGGTTAACACTAAAGACAAATCGAACAACTCTATGCAGAAACGATGCAAAGCTTCAGGTCCAAGAGTTATTGGTTTAAGGTCCAACAGTCCCATTCCTCCGATCTCCATCAGGCATCTGGCATTGCCACCAACAATAGCAACAACATCACATCACCCCTAAACATTTTTGGAACAGCAGGCTGAGCATCTGCTGGAACTTCAGTCAAAGCCAAACTGAACAATACACAGCAATGACCACCAAGTCCCATGGTTTACCTCTTGTGGGTGTGGCAAGGAAGCTGGTACCCTCGTCGGCTGACCAGTGGCAGATACACCACCTGCATTCTCCTTGCAGCTGGGACCTTCGTTGCAAGGTTTTGCCTCTTCAGGTGGCAGCGCTGCCACTTGTGCTTGTGGCTCATCGGGAACGGCTGCTTCTAGAGATGTGCTGCCTTTGGCATCTGCAGCACACACACCAGCAACAGGGCACAACACCCATCAACCTAATGCAGCACTTGGTTTGTGGTCTCAGTGGCCAGGGTGTGGTAAAAACACCGAAGGACACTGAAACCATGACACTACCTCAGGGTGGATGAGGCAACAACGCCCCCATCATTGTGGATCCTACAAATTCAAGTGTTTATCTCAGCCAGAAGAGTTAAGTTGGTTAGCCAGGCATTCTCTACAGAAAGTATAGTAAGTATGAACTCCAATATTCATACCCATCTATTTGCCCCTCAGGACAAAAGGAATGCAAAGCAGAGGATACCAAGCGCAGGGCGCACTTCAAATAAGAAAGCAACACTGAACAACAGATACAGCACATTGTTGCAACTTGTGTTCAATGAGGAACTGGCGGTGCTAACTGGCATCCAGTTGTCTTCCATGGGCCTTTTTAGAAAAGAGCATTTGACGTGTCATCGCATCGAAGCAAACACGAACATTTTCTCGAGATCAGGAGTAAGCTATGCCCCAGATCAGCAGGTCCATGGACTTGCACATGGCGGCAGGGCAAGTCTGAGACCCCATTTGTGTCAAATGGTCAACCATCTCCACCAAATACGGAAAAGAGTTCAGCATGCTCTGTTATATTTTGTCCACCTTCTTGTCTATGGCAACTATTGCAATCAATGTGTTCCGCACAAACAAAGGTGTACCTTAAGGGCACACAACCCTTACTATGCCAATACCATGAGGCATGACAACAACAGCTTCAACACTCAATGCAAGGCATGCTTGCTTGACTATCTTAGCCACAGACTTCAGCCATTTATCTCAAGCAAACTAAAGACAATGCCAACAATCTGCAAGTCCAGCACACCTAAAGAACGCTACATCCCTGTGAACACCTCACTTTTTTTCAAAGTCCAGAAATAGAATGAATGAATGAACCAACAGCACACAAATGTTATGGCCCTTCATAGCCAGTTTGCTGCCAAGCTGTTGTCTACAAATGTCAACACACGCAGTCAAGGGAGCTGCAGGGGAAAACAACCGAGCTATGTTACCTACGGTCACTGGAATGTGCATTGCTGCAGAATTGAGGACCATGCAAATCAACATCCAACCCCTTACTGCACAAAGGCATGGCGACACTGCAATAATGGAATTAGAAGTTGTAGAATTAGAATCTGTTTTAGTGCACAAGGTTGTGCCCTAAAACACACACACCACCTGCTGTTTGGGAGAGCACGCAGGCTACTACGAAGCGTGTGCATCACAATGGGCTGGGGATTGAACCACTGAGCAGTGTGCAACCAGATTAAAGTCCTTGGGCTTGGTGCTGCCGCCTTCCGTGGACACGCAGTGTGCAAACTTGTGCCCAGCATCGCCAGCCGGCGCGAGGCCAGCGCCCTGCAATCCTCCAGAATGCATTCGAACAGCTTGCACCCACCATTGGCTCCCGCTCCCGCCTCCTTGTCCTTTTTCTCCTCCGCTTCTCCCCCGGTGGGGGACTCCGGTAGGAACTCCAGGTCATCCTCAGCCAGCAGGTCGTCAAGGACGTTGTCCGCGTCCCCATCGTCCCAGCCCTCCGCCATTGGGCGCGCTGCCCCGGGCGCACGGCCCACAGCCCCCGGCCTCCAAAATGAAAAATTCGAAGCCCAAGAGCTCGAAACCCGGCGCTCCCCGGTCCACCGCCTTGTCTGGACGCCTCCTTTCTCCCCGAACGTGCCACCTTATAATTCCCTGTGCTTCTTGTCCCGGCACGAATCGCTCACATCCGGAGCTCCTCCTGCGCCGGCAGGCAACACTGCATCTCAAAGCCGGCTCGCTGAGTCCGACCCAAAGCGCTGAGCACCCGGGCACCGGTCCCGGACACGAAGCCGGCCCATCATCGAACGACAAGGCCGGCCTTCCGATGCGCACTGTCACGACAGCCGGCCTTCCGATGCGGCGGCATCGAACATTGCGCAGCGAGCGCGCCCCACCTCATTCCCACTCGCGCGCAAGGCGCCAAGCGCTCTCCCCAAGGGCAAAGATCGTTACAAGGCAGAACAGCGAGGCACAATCCCACGTCCTCCTCCACCTCTGAGGAGATTCAGCGAGAGCGCCCAGACAAAACAAGGCGGACGCAAAGTACAACGGGTGCCAACGCAGCGTGGCCACTGCCAAGGGGCGGCGTCCACAAGGTGCCGAAGCGCAAGGGGAATAGATTCCAGCCCGTCCAGCCAGCTCGGGCATTCTCTGCGCCAGGCCCGCTGTTGGTTCCCCCGACAGGCAGGAGCGAGCGGTGAGGCGCGAGTCAAGGCTGGAAGGGACGGGCAGGCCGTTTGAAACGACGGATCTTTCGCGCCACCCACCAGGAGGGGGGCGGGGGGGCAGGCCTTTTGGGGAGGCGGCGGTTCGGTGGGCCGCCTGCGTTTGCTGAACGGCGGCCTCCGCCAGTTGTTGACCTCTGTGGTGAAGTCTGCGCGCTCTCCTGGGGGGTCACTTATGGCGTCAAGGAACCTCTCTGCGCTCCCCTTGACCCAGAGGTAGCCTGTCTGCATGTTTCGGTGCTGCAATTGGCGGGCTAAGGGCAACATCCATCCGTTCAAGGGCAGCATTCACCCGTTTATTAAACGGATGAACGCCCCTTACAAGGCAGGGTTAAATTCAATGCCGTATTCTTCTCTTGTTTCTGCGCACAGACGGTGCGTTGTTTTTCGTGGACGGCCCTGAACAAAACGAACGCTACCATCAAAAAGGACGTGAAACACGAGGGCCCATCAGAGAATATGTTCTTTGCGCAGTGGCGATCCATTATTTTGGGGTGGATGGCCCCTCAGCGCTTTCAAATAGTCAAGGAGTGCTATGTTTAATGGGGGCGGACGCTGGACTTCGTGGTGGAGGGCCTACCCACTTCACAGGGATGCGAACAAGGAACACAAAGCAGTTGATGCTCATACTGGTGAGAATAGAAAAGAGAAGCGTGGGAAAAGCATGCACCACTGGATGCAATGACTGTCGTCACAAAGGGCATTACACATGCCTCAACTGAAACCACGAGCTTAAGCGCGGTGATGCAGGGGGTTCGGCGCTTGGGTATAACATGACGTGACTGATGTTTGTCAATGAGTTTCTGATTGGGGAGGCGTGGGTGAGCGGTTGGGATGCGCCATGCACAGTTGGGAGTGGTGGCAGCCGTTCTCCTTTGCAGTTCGGAACCGTTGGTCTACAAACTGCGTCTGAGTGTGGGCCAAGGGATCTGTGGACCTTTGGGACAATTTCCAAGGGGTGAAAGAGGCTTGCGCTGCGATGGTCGCCTTTTGATAGGCAATTTCTCAATCGTGGGCGGTCGCCCTACCTCAAGAGCCCCAAAAACCGCCAACTTGTTTGGCCACTCCCTGCCCATCCCTGGAAGTATGAATACAAATATAAGTATTGTTGGTTTTTAAGCCCCCCGCATAATAGTGTAACGCTTGGCCCTTTTTGCGGAGGAAACGATAAAATAAACAACGCTTTTTCAATAAAATTTGTGCGGCGCCACGTCAAAATAGTAAGATAGCGCTCTGAAAAACAAATGCAGAGCAAAAAGCGTAACGGTAAAATTTTCCAACGCGGAAGGGTTTAAAAACCAAAGCTACTACAGGAGCATCACGAGATGGGTTCAGGTACTTTGGCTTGTACTGCGAAGCAAAGAGGAAAATGTGTTGGTGGCCACGGGCATTGTGCGCAAAGGACCCTGATGAGAATGCGGCCAATTTACTCGGGCATTGCGTGCGTCGGTGCGGGGAGAGGGTCAAGTCAAGCGGACGGGTCAGCACCCCGGCCGCCGTCGCGGAACGGGAGCGAGCAGCAGTCCCGCAGCAGCACAAGTGCAAGCGCGAATGGTAGCAGTTGTTGTGGTACAGCCAGCAGTAGTAGTACTGGGGAACTAAAAAAGGCCACCTGGCGACAGGAAAGGCGCCCGCTTCCAAGGCGACAGGTGCTCACTTCTGGCGCCGGAAAAGTAACCCTCCCGGCCCCCGTCGCAACAAAAAAAAATACTCGGGCGGCCGCGCCCCCCACATCGGCGTCCACACAGCCCCCGTTGACGCCAATCGCCACGGCCGGCAGGCGCTCCGAGGTGGGCCCCGCAGGCGCCCCGCCCCCCCCCCCCCCCCCCCCCCCCCCCCCCCCCCCCCCCCCCCCCCCCCCCCCCCCCCCCCCCCCCCCCCCCCTCCTCCCCCCGGCCCGCCATGCCCCCCTCCCTGGTGGGCCACCTGATGCGGCCCTACGCCGAGCTCCGGGCCACCTTCCTGCTTTTCAGCGACCCCGACAAGGAGGACCGCTGGTGGCGGTCCTGGCAGCGGCGGCGCCTGGCACGCGGAGAGCTCGCCGGGGCATCCCTGGCTCTGGCCTCCACCCTCATCCTCGCCGTCGTGGTGCTGGGCGCCGGCGCCATGGACCCCCCCATGGCGATCTTCATCCTTGCGTCGCTGGCCCAGACGGCCGCCCACATCGTCCTGCTGCGCCCCAGGTTCCGGGGCGCCTACGAACACATCCGCGACCCGGCGGCGATCGCCCTGCGGGCCTTCCTCAACCCCGCGGCCGCCGCGCTGACGCGTGTGGCCATGACCGGCACGCTGGAGCCGGCGCCCGGCAACGTCCTGGCGTCGGCGGTGCATTTCCTGTGGGCGTTCGGGATCATTGACGGCGCGATCGACGCCCTGCGCTACCCGCTGCGGTTCCGGGACCACGCGCTGGTGCAGGGGTTGGCGGCGCTGGTGTGGTGGTGGGCGGACGGGCGCCTGTGCCCGTCATGGCTGTGTCAGGGGGCCAGGGATGCGGTGGTCGGGCCCATCTGCACGGCGATCGGCGCGCTATCCACGGGCGTCAGCTTCGACTGCCGGGCGATGGGCGAGGCGGCGGCCTGCCTGACGGGCGTGCTGCAGGTGCAGGTGCTGCTGGGCTGCATGGCGACGTCGGGGGCGGTGTACGCTGCGGAGGTGGCTTCCAGGAAGGAGTTCCTGGCGTCCGGCAAGGGGGGGGGCAGCTGAGGCCGCCGGCGGAGGAGGAGCTCCGGCTTGCGGCGCCTGGGACCCTGGGACCGAGTTTGCTGGCGGGGGGCTTGGGGGGCCAGGGCTTGGGGTTGAGGTTGGTCGGGAGGCTGGATGCGTCGGGCGATCGGGCCGAGGGGCCCCCGTGCAGCGAACTGCGGGCGGCGGGTCGTGCAGGCGCGTACATTGGCGCTTTGCGCGGTATTTAGTCATGGGCGCTTGGTGTACAACTATTGCCCTTTATTTCCCTTTCACGGTTTGGTTTTCTGCAATAAGTCGCGGTGTGGTGGCGGGCGGTGACGGACCCGCTGTCTGGACGGCTGCCGGCCGCCAGCCGACCTGTGAGTTGCCTATACTCGATGTGCAATAGAGGTTGAGCCTGTTTGGAGCTTCAGAACCCCAGCTTGTGTAATGAGTTTCCCAGCTTGTGTTCTGAGCTTACCGGTGATTTTGAAGGTTATGTGTTGTGAATAATGTCGGAATTCTCGACCACAACGATCAGCCATTCTGGTGCGGGGGCCTCCAGCTCTCCCCGTGGATGTTGCAGCCACGCAGGTGGTGGGGGAGCGGCCGTCGCCTTGGGCTTTGTAGGGCAGAGGATTTGAATCCGCTGATGCCTGTGTTGAACATGCTGACTAGCTTTGCGCGGCTGCCTTTTGAGCGCCGCTCGGGAATGAACGCATTGAGAGGGATGGGTGTGGGTGGAGCGTCGATGCACACCTGGGGTATTTTGCATCGCTGTTTTTTGATTCATGCGGTGGGATTTTGCGGGATGTTTCCACTCTGTTTGCTTTTGCTTTCATGTTATGGGCAGTTCCCTAGCAGGCCGTTCGAGGGTGACCCATGGGTCGAGCCACTTGTGCCCATTCAATAAGCGGCAGGAGCGTGAGGGAATGCACGTGCACCGATCGCGTAATCTCTGTGATGCTGTCGACGCAGGGGCCTGATGAACAGCGGAACGAAGGTTTGTTGTGCCGGTGCAGCGAACGGAGAGCTTGAAGCTGTTGTGTAAGCAGGAGTTAGAGCTTAGTCTGTCCTCCATGCCCACAGGCTGACTGATGCGTTAACCTCGCCGCTGCAGGTGGCGGAGGGCTGAGGTTGACGTGTGTGCTACTGGTGGTGGCGTTCTTTGCGAAGTTACCGGGGCTATCAGGAATCCATTGTTGCGTTAGCCAAACGCGCGTTGCCTTGCACTCCTCGGCGGGGAGAATGCGAACGTACAGGAGGGAGCAGACAGTAGCAGAGCTGCGGTCTAACATATGCACACACCGCAGTGAGCGAATTGTTTGCTGGTGACTAAATTTCGTCAGTTGTCGACACTACAAAGTTTTGGGTCAGCGTCCCAAGCAAGTTGGACTTCGAACGATGTTCGACATACAATATCCACCCATGAATTTCCTGCTTTGGAATGCAGGAGGAACTGTGACCCTGAATGACGTGTGACGTTGTTGCAATTTCTCAGTGACAGATTGCACAGTGCTGCATCAATGGACGGCATTGGCGCAGGTTGCAAGGAATTTCGTTACCATGGTTAAACTCCAAGCTACGACCGCAAGAGTATCACTGAACAGAGGGGCGGCCGCAACTCGTCCTATCAGTTGATGCATTGTGGGTATGCTTGCTTAGGTGGTCGCAAGTTGGATTATTTTGTTATTTATTGCGAACAGAACAACACTTTTGTGCAACGATTGTCCAAACATGCTGAGCTTGGAAAATTACCTAATGCCCCGTCTGGCTCAAAGCTATTGAATGCGCTACTACGGAAACAAGAGCTCATGATCGCACACCCAAAAAAAGAAAAATCTTTCCCACGTGCAGGCATGTTAGAAGTGAAACGCGGGTTGAAAAAGTATCATTGCATTTGCAAGCCAGATTTGTTTTGCTTTGTGCGAATCGAGCCACCTCAGGGAATGCATACGTCGAATGTGTTACGCTCAGTGTCAATTCGGCGCCAAGATGGGAAGGGTCCAGATCTGTGTCGCTAAGAGGGTGCACAATTGCCACGAAATCAGCTAAGCTGAGAACAGCCCCAATCCGACGGTGGGTGGCACCAAACAGGCCATTGCGTTGTCGAAATTCTCCCTCCAGCATTCAATCTTAATGGAGAACTCCAGGTGCGTCGGTTGACAGTCTCTTTGCCTGCCCCAATCGATATCATGGCTTCCAACACATGTGAATGTGGCCTTTTCCAGCACAATAGGCCACATTGAGTGTGGAAAAATCAATTTCTTTCACCTACGCTGGATGCGCACCCAAAAATGTGACGCGCACATTTATCATCATGTCCCGATCTGTGACGCCGTGGGAGCGCAGTAGTAGACCAATTCCCCCCTCCCCCCCATGACATGTGCCCTTCCCATGGAGGTCCACATTTTGTGCAATGAACCTGTGGGGCTACACTTTGCGTCGACGCACATAGACTGCATCCCATTGCCTCCTATTGTGCAGCGCCATGGACACACGCTGCCCCTCGCTCTCTCTAATAGTCCTAAATAGAGCCAGCCCCCCCCCCTCTCCTTCCCCTTGCTAAGGCCCTGCGGGGCACTCCAACAGGTATGGGCAAACCCTTGAACCCCTCGCAAAGCTTCTTGGCGGGTTGTTCCGCCCAGCCTTGGATTTTTTTAAGGTAAACGCCGTAGCTTTCCTTTCTGAAGTGGTGGTCTGAGACCACCAATGGTGAGAGACCATCGGTCTCTGCCGACATCCCCGTCTCTTGAGTAATTTGGGTTCTGGGGGGTTTGTCATTAGTGCAGAATTAATACCAAACACTATTGCTGTGCACTAGGAGTGTGATATGAACTGTTGAGCTGCTGAACAAACTACTAGAGCCAAAGCACACAGAGGGGCAAGTTGGATGCCATGGAAGACGGTCTTGTGTGCCTCCATCGCTGCAGTCTCTTTCGCTGAAAAAACAAGTCGCAGCCACATTTTGTCCCCACATTTTTTGAACGGGGCCAGACAGTGGGCTGCACTGGGGCGCGAGCTCATGGTGCAGGGAATTCACAAAACGAAGACGTCGATGGTACCTGGACTGAATTGTGATGCAATACTTTTTATCTTGAGTAAAAATAGTATATATAAAATATACATAAAACAAATATATGTAAAAAAAATAACGGACGTCGGTGTGCCCTAAGACCCGAAATCCAACTCCCCTGCAAAGGGTCACAGTTTCAGCACAAGAACTGCACCAGCGCCGATGCATGTGTCACGACCTTGCCGCACTCCGGTCGCACCGCCCCACCATGACCACCCTGCGGCGCTTCCGCTGCGACGACCTCTTCCGCTTCAACAACGTCAACCTGGACAAGCTCACGGAGACCTACAACCTGCCCTTCTACTTGCAGTACCTGGCGCGATGGCCGGGCATGTGCCTGGTGGCGGAGGCCCCCACGGGCGGCCGCATCCAGGGCTATATAATCGGCAAGGCGGAGGGCAGGGGGGAGAGCTACCACGGCCACGTCACGGCCGTGACCGTGGCGCCCGAGTACCGCAGACAGGGGCTGGCAAGGAGGCTGATGGATATGCTGGAAGAGACCACTGATAAGGTTTGCCAGGCGTACTTTGTGGACCTGTTCGTCCGCGCGTCGAACTCTGTGGCGATCGGCATGTACGAGAAGATGGGTTACAGTTTGTACAGAAGGGTGGCGGCGTATTACAGCGGGGAGGAGGACGCATGGGACATGCGCAAGGCGATGCCGAGGGATGTAGGGCGGAAGAGCGTGGTGCCGCTGGGAAGAGGTGGCCACGGCGGAGGAGTGCCTGAGCGATTGATGGGGAGGGGGGGGGGTGCAGGGGTGGAATGGGGGAATCAGCGCTGTTTTTGATGAACTGGTATTATTGGGAGGGCGTGGTGCGGTTGAAGGTGGCTGAATGGCGGCTGCATGATCTGATGTAGTGTGGGTACGAGTCCGGCATGTGGGCTCTGTGCGTGTCATCAAGGTGGAGACGTCTGTTGTGTTCTGCAGATGTGAATGGAATTTGCAGTGATAGGAAGCTGGTTTTGTTCAGGGCATCTCCTCCCAATGCAAGCAGCAATGTGCGACTCAAATGGCATTGACTTTAACTGAATTCGATGGTGGTGAGTCAAACACAGAATCGTGTTAGAGAGGTCCCCTCTGTGTGACCGGCTGCCTTCCAGTTGAAATCACAGTCTTTGGCCTTGCTGTTAGTTCCAGCTGGAAACCAAGACAGGGTAATCGCATTGAAAACTTCAGCTTCGAACCTTCAAAACAAACGACCACACAATCGATCGCATCAAATTCTTCAAGGGCGCTGGTCAGAATTGTTCTGCAAGTCCAAAGAGCTCATCCTGGCGACGATGTCAGACACATTTCATCACGGGCACCTTGCCTGAACCCAATGCTGATCCCTGTTGGGGACTGCATTTGCCATGAAACTGGCTTTGCATTGGTTTGTGCATTGAAAAGAGCCCCTTTTGGACCCTGCATTCGCCAGGAAACTGGCACTGCATTGGGTGTGCATTGAACACCACCCCATTATGTGAAAACCCCTCCTAGATCGTTGGCGAGCTCCGTTGGGCTATTGAGGGCTTTCACTAGGGAAAAAAGGGCCAAATAACACATGTTCAAACGTGTACAAAGTTTACGGGTTTGGGTTATTTCCGTGTTTTTAGCTGCCAAAACACTGATGAAATGCATATAAATGTGTTCGTGAAAAGTGCTATTTGGCCCTTTTTCTGCTAGTGTTTATGGGCAGCACGTGCCCCTGCAGTACGTTATCCTGGTTGAGGTACTGATTTACGAGCTCAACGTGGAATTGAACTTCACCAATGGACTGGTGTGTGTAGATGGCTGCTGGGCAGTTATCCCGGCTACAGACTGGTAAAGGATGTATGGTGTAGTCTGTCAGCATCCATTCATTGCGAGTCACCAATCGCTGGCCGGTGTTGTGAATGGCTGAGGTTAGATGGGACCAAGAACGCATTTACACCCATCCAGTAAAGCGATCAAAACAACCCAGTGCGATCTGGAAGTTAT